TAAAAAATGTTATAGCTGGGGCTTAAAATCACAATAGAAGTCCTGAAAACAATCAGGACAATTTCTCAGAAAGTAGTGCAAAGAGACAGTAAAATGAAAACTAGTAAAGAAGAAATCTAGAGTCCATCTAGAAAGCCAAATATCAGAATAACATGAGAATGGAGAAAATACAGGCATAAATAATTAACTCATGAAATTCAATCAACTGGTGAAAAGGGGAGAAACGAGAGACTACATAAAAATACATTTAGATAATAGATACTATATTTCTAAAATGACTTTGGAATCCTCCTAGCAGCGCTGCAAGTCAGATTATAAAGCAGCTGAACTCTTCAGAATTCTAACAGAAAATGACTTCCAACCTAGTATCAACGGACAACCAAAATATACTTCCTATGCTCTTTTCTGAAGGAGCACTATAACAAAACATAGTCATAAACCAAGAAAGAGGCCAAGCTCCTTTAAAAAAATGGGGGTATGGTGGGTTTCCAGACCAAAAGAGGCAATCTACATCCTTTTAAAGTGAGCCCAAGGATGAAAACTTTGACTACAGTACAGACCAAGGCAGGTCAGAAGATTCTGGGAGAGAACTTCCAATGGTTTATCAGCCATCACACCATCTGAATTTATTGAGAGATACGAATAGCTGGGGAAATTTAGGATTAGTTTAATACAGACTATAAAGCAAGCAATTACTTCAATGGACATAAAAAACTATGTGAAAAGTCACTGTATATTTATTACAGGGCTGAACTATGAAGAGCATTACACATTAAGATAATAGAGTTAAAATATTTGGGGACCAGATAGTGGCAGTAAAATGCAAAGATCTACACGGCTGACCCACATAGGAAAGTTACAGGTTCCAGTCTGAAGACTTCCCTTAACATGACTGTGTTCCTGATCTGGGACTGGCTGAAGCTGGAGGTAAACTGTGGTGTCAAGACCCTGCTGGGGAGGGGTGGGTGGTGGGTGGTGGTGCTGTCTCTCTCACTTGTGGAAAAAAAAAATTTTTTTTTAAATTAGGTACTTACTGTAGTTTTACATACATTCACTCATTTAAATTGTCACAATAATGTATTTAAACAAAATTATAAGTACTATGGAAAGAAGAGGGCATGCCATGAATTTATGCATGATTTTGGTTAAGGTTGGGGATGAGGACCAGTTAAAATCAAAGGACAGTTGCTAAACCATCTTCCACAGAAGATAAGGTCTAAAGCAACTCTCCCCCCTCCATGAAGACTACACCATATGCATATGGTGTTTTTTTAGAAACATGGGATAGGGACCAGTAGTTGGCGTAATGACTATGTTGCTGGACTCCCATGTAGTCGATTGCTGTTTGAGTCCCAGACTTGGTGGCTTAAAACTCACGCTAGGCGCATGTGTGTGCATGTGTGCCCAAGATCCTGAGAAGAGATTGGAGAAGGGATGTGTGGCCATCCCCCCTAAGGGGTGATTTCTCACTTTCTCTCTCTCTGTTTCTGGCGAGTGCATGCGTGCTATAGCAAAAATCTCGAGTGCACGTGTCCTATAGCAAAAACCTCTCCCCTCCCAAAAAAAGAAACATGGGATAAATGCCTACCAAGAAATCATTATCTCCATAGTGAAAATGAGAGTGGCAAACAGTTTTAAGCCACATAAAACTATGTACATGTAGAATTCTGAATAAAAATAATTAAAAAATCATACAATTAATAAGAACTGAGATGCACAATGGGTGAATATTAATTTTTTCCACCTTCAATAGCAGTGAATTTAAAAAATTAAAATGTCTTTTAAAAGTTATTCCAACTTAAGTGCTCTTTTTTGGTTTTAGGAGGTTTGTTTTTTTTTTTTTTGCTATAGGGCACATATGCTCACTAGAAAGAGACAGAGAGAAAGTGTGACAGAAAGTGACAGAAAGTTTACCCCCTTCCCCAGGGGGATGGTCATGCCACAATCCCTTCTCCTCCATTCTCCTCTCGGGATTTTGGGCATACACGCACAAGTGCTGGGCGTGAGTTTGAGTCACTGGGTCTGGGACTCAAACCATGGTCGACTGCATGGGAGTCCAGCAATATAGCCATTACGCCAACTGCCGCCAACTGCTGGTCCCGACTACAACTTAAGTGTTTTATACAACCTTATTTTTAAATTTAGAATTTCTCAACTATGGCACTACTGACATTTTGGGCTCAATAATTACTTGTTGTTGGGGGATGTCACGTTCAGTGTAGCATACTTAATAGCATCCCTGACCTCTACCCAACTTGATGTTAGTGACACTCCTCCCCTAAGTTGTAACAATGAAAAGTATCTGAAGATACTGCCAAATGTCCCTGGGGTACAAAACTCTACCCAGGTGAAAAACCCTGCTATAGAAACATCTCCTTAAAGGTATCTTTTTAGGAAACTCTCTTGAAGAAAAAACATTTACTTAATATTTGGCAATTCTATTATTTTTCCTTTTGTTAAATTCAGGACATAATGCTTTGTTTAAAAAAAAAAAAATAGCATGCTACCATTCCTAACAAACCACTGTCTATTTATAATGCATTGAGAGAAGGAATGTTACTGGAGGTGAGATATTTTTTTGTGACATTTTTACTTTCTTTGTAATTTGTACTGCTTGACTACTCATAGCAACTATGAATCATTTCTATAAAAGTCATTGTATTGAAATATAAAAATCTAGTAGAGGCTGACATAAAACCAGTAACCAGTATTTTTAACGGCTGGTACTCAGTAACCAGTATTTTTAATGGCTTAGTTACATTAAATATCTTAGGCAAAGAAATGATAATTATTAGAAACAAGGTCAAGTCATTCAAAAATGTCAATTCACTAACACCAGTGTTGAGACTGGAACAAGGAAAATCAAATAATAAAGTATAACTGGCTGGTAACTATTGTGTCGTTGGGCAAGTCATGCCGCATTTTTTGCATAAAAAAGCCTGTCATGACTTTCCCGATGATCTAATAGTTGAGAAATCCAAAGATGTTAATGATAATTTTTTAAAGTAATAGCCAATCCAAAAAAAGACAACATGCATGAATCAAAAATGATATTGTCATGAACCAAGGATTATAGTCAACCTAATTCTACGTCTCTTAAGAGCAAACAAAAACCCCAGAATTTAATACTCCAGTCTCTGCTAGATATTACATGTAATTTTTCATTTCTCTTTTATTTTTCTTAGTTCAGAAATGATTTTTTACAATTTTTCTATAAATAAGCAAAATCTTTAACTAAATTTGAGTAAGCCTGAAGAAACACGCAAAAAGAATGAGGCTTGTTTTAAACTTCTCTGATCTAATTTAATGATTTGAATGGTTCTTTCGTAAAGTTAAATAAATTCTAATTATGTCAAAACCTAGAAATAAATGAGCATATTCACTGTTAAGAATGTGGAAGAGATGGACCTGGACTAAAACTGAACAATTAAGGGATAAAGAGACAAAGGCGCAAGGAAGGAAAAGGAACAAAAGATAACTCAAACTGCAGCCTATAAAATAAATTCTTAAACTAGGCATAATAACCTAGAAGCATGACAACCTAAGGAACCTAGCTTCTTTACCTGCTAAAGATCCGATTATTGGAAAATAAAGTGACCTCCTTAATACTACGTTTCCAGTATATCTCAGTATTGACAGAGTGACTAAAAGGCACTATCAATTTTTTATAGTGACTGTTCTCTAATCAATTAGTGTCAGTCTAAGTTGTTAACGTATCAATAAGAAAATGAAGTTCACTAAAGCTATTTTCTTTCTTACTTAAAACACATACATACAAAAAACATTCTTAGGATTTTTTTTTTTTAAATCACAATTGACCTTGAGACAAAAAGGTTGTTCATCATTGAAATGGAGAAGGAGAAAAAAATGTAAAACATGTAAATCATCTGTTACATCATCAAGAGAATGACCTGGCTGAACTAACAACCTCCACATACTAGTTGTTTAAAATTTAACATTTATAGTTCAAGCCATATGAAAACTTTAAAAAAATGTATATGTAAAATAATCAGTATTTTGGTTAATGTATATATAACGGAACCATTTGACAAGTCAGACAAGCAACTGTTAGGAGAATTCAGAAATCAGAGTAAAGAAATACCATTGGAACCCAAATACCTTGACCAGCATTATGAACTTAACTATACTGCCAATGTTTTATTTACTTAGAAGGAATCAGACATTTTCTTAAATAAATTACAGTTTGTGTCACCTACAGCAAGAAATTTTGACACTAAAATGAAAACGTTTTAACAACGTGCACCTGATTAAGCATATTTCAGATCACACACATGTCAAGAGACAGATATTTAATATCACAGAATTGAGTGGGTACATAAATTAATACCTGAAAAATATAGTAACCCCGTAATACTATTAAGGCCGAGGACATTGTCGCAGAGCTAGAGACTACATATTTCAATAACGATATTACATCAATATTACTGCCAAGCTGTCCCAAATAACACTTCTTAATCGCTGCCTGAGCGACAGAACAAAGAGGCCGACAAGCCTCCAGGGATGACAGTGCTGCAAGTTTAAGGTTACAGGCAAAAGAGCTGAAGAAAGGGTGTATCCTATAGATGGAAGGGGTCGAAGACTTCCGCAGAGATTAACTAGGCAGACACAAAAGAAAACACCAAAAAGGGCCCTGAAAGAATGACAGGCAGCTCTCACAAGGGAGAGGCACGGGAGGACTCCCAGCTCTCTTCGCTTCTTTCATTTGGGTCATCTTCCCATTTCCACGGCACCTCATGGCCACCAGGGTCAGTTTTCCGCCAGACCCTAGATCCGGAAGCTAAATCGGAGCGATCAGGGAAGACAGGAGAAAACGGGTACAAAAGGCACTCCCAGTTGGGTGGGGTACCACGTTCGCCCACTGGGCCTCGTCCAGCCTGCTCCCTCCAGTCTCCTTTCTCTTCCGACTCTCACGCCAGCATCCGGGAGCCGAAAATAAAAACATATATATATACATATATATTTTTTATTATTTATCTTACCCAGCTCGCCATGGAGCACAACCCCAGGACGCTCCCCATCTCCACAACGTCACAAGAACAGACCGTCAAGATGGAGACCAAGCCTTTCTTGTCTTTCGGTGCTTATTTACTATACGCGATACACTTCCGGCGCAGACCCCACTCCGCCCCTTCAGCTGCGCGTCACTTCCTTGGAAGTCTGGGTAGGTTGGGCGAGAGGGGCGAATCGCTGAGGGTGCGCATGCGCCTTACCGGATTTACCGCCCCCGCTCCCTATCCAGGGCTGTCTCCTGGCCTGGAGAATTGTTTCCCGTCAGCCACCGGGAAGCTTCTGGCTATCTCGAGGAAGAGGATGGTTTACCAAATTTAGAAAACGATGTAAGAAAAATTCAGCATTACTTATCGCTTGAATTTGGCCATTAGTAGCACACAGAGCGGAGATAGTGGTTGATGTTTTACTCTCCGTGTCAGAAACTGTCACAGCTTTCAGGGTATTGGTTTTTTCCTTTATCGGTGTTTATCCCACCTAAATTTTATTTCGCAATTTTCTAACTTTTACAATTATTTTTTCACTTAACATGCATATTCCTGCAGCTCACTACCCGAGGCCAGGTTCCTTGGGGCTGCTTACGGTGCTTTCATTTTTTTCTACATCTCTTCTCTGCTTTGGCGCATATTGCATTTCTTGTCCTATTAAGATGTTACAAGAGGTTTGCACAGTCAAAAATTTTTAGGTAAGAGATACTTACTATAAAGACTTAAACACTGATTTTGAATGTCAGGACCTGTTGAGACACGTGGAACCCTTGCTTATATGATGCAGCACAGCTTCAAGAAATGTATTCATACAAAAGTTATAGTTATTTTTTATACTGATTCATTCTTAAAAATATTCTGGGAAAAGAATTCTACACATAGAAATAAGTTGAAATAGTCATTGCCATAATTATTTAAAAGAATGTCTATAGGGACCAGCAGTTAGCTTAATGGCTATGTCACTGGACTCCCACGTAGTCCACCGTGGTTTGTATTCCCGACCGGTGGCTTAAAACTCACGCTGGGCGCGTGTGCATGCATGCCCAAGATCCCAAGAGGAAAAAGGAGGAGAAGGGATTGCTGCGTGACCATCCCCCCTGGGGGGTGATTTCTCGCTTTCTGTCTGTCTCTGTCTAGTGAGCGCATGCGCCCTATAGCGAAAACCTCTACAAAAAAAAAAAAAAAAAAAGAATGTCTATGTAACCCACAAAAATTGTATAGGTTGAGGTGGGGTAATTTGAGAATCTGGAAGAGGGAACCAGCAGATAGTATAATGGTTTCATCACTGGACTCCCACGTATTCCATGGCAGTTCAAGTCCTGGACCCTGCAGCTTAAAATTCACACCCCGTATGTGCCCAAATTTCTGAGAGAACTGAGGAGAAGGGATTGGGGCCTGGCCATGGGGCGGGGTGTGTGATTTCTTGTTTTCTGAGAAGCACAGGCACCCTATAACAAAAACCTCTCCACCAAAAAAAAAAAAAAAAAAAGAAAGAAAGGAAGAAAGAATAGGCAAGAGTTGTGACTATTAACTGATAAGGAGCAACCTGGAAGGAAAGGGATAGGATAAAAGTTTAGTCTGGACATGCTGAATTTGAAGGCTTGAAAATGCAAGCTTGAGAGAACCAGCAGTTAGCGTAATGGCTATGTCGCTGGACTCCCGCGTAGTCGACCGTGGTTCCCGTCCCTGACTGGTGGCTTAAAACTCACGCCAGGTGCGTGTGCGTGCGAGCCCAAGATCCCGAGAGGAGAATGGAGGAGAAGGGATTGCGGCGTGACCATCCCC